ACAGGAGTCCACAGGAAAGGGAGTGAGTGAGTTTGTATGATAAGACACCCCCTTTGAGTGGGGTTCCAATAAAAAACAAGAACATGTTACACTCAATGAAGAAGCTTCAAGCTTTCCAGCACTGTGATGTTCCCTTTCCTTGCAGCCGCAATTTTAATGACTTAAAGCAAGATTATTGAAGGACTCACTCCCATTCCATCCTACACCTCTCACACACACTTCTGTAAGGTATGTCTTTAAGCAACAGCAGCTGCATTTCATATTTGTAAAGGTAATTTGATCTGAAATAACATATTTAAAAAAAATCAGATAGTGACTTTTATTTTTTATTTTCATCTTGAGGGCGCTCACAAGGCATGTGCGGGGCAACCAGGGCATCAGCAGGCTGCCCAGGGAAGTGGTTGAGTCACCATCCCTGGAAGTATTTAAAAGACGGGTAGATGAGGCGCTTAGGGACATGGTTTAGTGGGCATGGTGTTGTTGGGTTGATGGTTGGACTCGATGATCTTGGAGGTCTCTTCCAACCTTAATGATTCTATGATTCTGCTATCTCTGCCACTGACCACTTAGCTGTCTGGAGTCAAATCCACAGCATAATGCATAAACTGAAAAATAATTTGCATGATTGCATCCAGTTAAGCTAAACAAACCACCTGTTCAAATAAGTAGGTCTCATTATAAACCAAATGTTTGTTCTTCCAAAAGCAAATGGAGGACTTACAAGGTGATAAAGCATTTTTGTCCAAACTTTAGTCATCATCTAAACATGCAAACTGTAAATACTTTGTACAAATACACACACCATAACACTTCTGAAAATTGCACTGTTTCACAACTTTGCTGTTATATGTGACCTTCATTAGTATTCTCCTATTTTAGTCTGTGGTGTTGTTCTAGAAGTGCGATAGTACACAGAAACCAGAGAACTGAGCTTGCAACACAGCAACTAGGCTCTATCTCCACAGGCAGCTTGTACCCTTGATGTTTGCATTGTGTGTCCACACACTGCCTTTTACAAAACTGTATTTTAATGCACATCAAACTAAAAACGACACCTTCTGTTAAGGGAAGGTTAAAAACTAAACTGAAATGGTCCAGCTACAGTAAAGCAAGACATATCTTAGCTATGAGAAAGTGTTCTTTCTCTGCACAAGTACCTGAGAATATTAAGGGTCAACACTAACAATGTCTTTTCATGCACTTAAACAACCTTTTAATCTAAAAAAAAAAAAAGTAATAACAATAAAGAGTAAGTGTATGCCCTCATGATCTGAATTTCTACAGGCAGCCATTAAACCTACTCATTCTATTTTTATTTTCCTTACACAGCAAAGTTGGCAAGGAGAACACTTCAAGACCTCCCCCTGGATAGGTTTTAATTTTGGCCTGAGCTCATAAGACTGTTAAACACTTCTGAGAGTCCCACCACCTTCTTCAAATCCATCAGTATCTTACAGGCAAGTGATTCTATCTCTTCCTCCAGAGTACAAACAGCATCAGTTCCTTGTACCAGCAGAAAAAATAAGTATACCCATAAAAATACACCTATACTATTCTAAACACAGTATGAAACCTATCCTGCTTTGAGGAATCATTAATAATTGAACTGTGAGAATATGCTAAATGCAGGCCACCAATGTGCTATACGATCAGATTACAGTACAGTTGTATGCTGTACCCATTTTGCACAAATTAAATTATATTCTAAAGTTTCAGAAACGTTGAAGTCAAAATACAGATTCTGACATGAGTTATAAGGAAATGCAAATAAGCCACTAATCACCCTGTTTGTAACAAGGAGAAATACATTTTAACAAAACTAAATTAAATGCATGAAATCCAAAGTAAACACCTACTCAGTACTGGAAATAGTAACTTTCCTCAGGTACTGACTGTCCAAGCACTCCCTGTCTCATCAACACAAGCACTCTACATTGTCATCAAATTTTATAGGCCACCATTTAAATTCCTTTTAACTGAGCATAATATTTATTAATGTCTTTTAGATATACAAATCAAAACATCACAACTAACCAGGCTGTTGGAGGGAGAGCATTTAAGTTCAATTCCTCAATGTGTAGTGTCAGTATGGGACAACCACCTGACTCGGATGCCCAGTTAAGACTCTGACTCCTACTACTCTCTTTCGATTAGCCTGAAGCATCTAATGATAGTACCCAACAACGGTATACATACCTCATTGCCCATCTGCACCAACGATATATGGGATTCATGTCAATTTTTGCCATGGATGGGCAATTCCAGTGTTGGCCTCAAAATAACTCACAAGAGATGACTGTACAGAATAGCCTTTCTTCAAGTTACATTCCCAAAGAATAATCTTTGGAAAGCTTTATTCTCTTATCCTTACAGTAAATTACTTTTCTTGGCTCAGAGCTTTAAGATTTTATTGCTATTTAAGTTAGCGATGAAAGATTTAATCACAGATTTGTTAGATTTAACCACTGAACACAGGCTTTTCCAGAACCTTCCAAGCTCCAACAGGAGTCACAGTAGAAGTTCCCAAATATAAACACTACTGGAAAAATTTTGGATTTGCCATCGATTTCCTCCCAGTAATCATTCACAGCTTGAGTTTAGCAATAAAGAAATCCATCATCGTGCCCCCAACACCATCTGGGAGATCAGGCTTTTGGCAGAGAAAAAATGGAGCAGCAATTGCCTAGCAGCACAGGAAATCAATGACTTCCCCATGCAGGGGCGAGCAACAGGCTGCTCCTGCTGAGCGCGGGATCATTCATTTCCCTTTCTGCCAGCAAAGCTGCTTTGTACGTGCAGTGAGCAAAGTCTCCGTTACACTAGCAGGACACACACACCTTCCCCCAAACGTGCCCTTACCAATAGGGTTAGGTAGCCAGCTATGCAATTTCAAGTGAATAGCCAGAACAGGAAGGAGTGAATACATGCGGAGACACCAGTCTCCTGGGAGAGCCTTTAGACACAAGGGTTTCAGGCTATGAGGTAAGTAACAAAGGTCCTAGTACGCTACTGATTTAAGCTTATCTCAAATCTCATGACTTGACAAAGGATTCAACTGAACTTTGACAACATCAGGGCCAGGAAAACCTGGTCTTCCCTTTCCGCCCAGCAGTAGGATAGTACTATTTACTTCCAGCAATTAAAGCTCTAAAACAGGTGCAAAGGTATTTTTTCATTTTAAGCACAACCATTAAAGGGGAGTTAGGAATATCTCAAAAAAAAAAAAAAAAAAAAGTGAGCACATTATCCAGGAGACAACAGGCCACATCAACATCCTTCCAGGCTGCGCTTCTTGATAGCTAAACCACAAGTGTATTTACATATACAATAGAAAACATATATGTGTCCCTTTTTATTGAGAGGGTTTGCAGGAACTGGAATAGTCACTCAAGATCTTTTGTCAAGGTCACAGCAGAGACCACCACTGATCTCTGCAGCTTTAAAATCCCAATTCCTTCCTCAAATTTACTAGCCTTAGTGTTCCCTGGAGCACAAGGCAAGGTAAGAAGGACAGGAGTTGAGAGTTTCCCCAGACACACACTTTACCTTTGCTGCAGGCAAGAAGAATTTCACATCCACATTTTTGCTCCAGGTCAAAGTTCCCAATGAAGTCACAGCAACAGGATCATTACAGGCATGTATGCAGTCATCAAGAACTGAACTACTCTCTGTAACTGGTGTCAGAGGTTACTGATACACCACCACAGATGGAAGGGACTTCTGGTCAAGCCAGTCTTGGCCGTGATTCAAACCAGCGCTCTGAATAAGCGGCTTGTCCATCAACCAGCCCTCTCGGAGATCAGAGGGTATTGCTGTAGCTGTTTCCAGCACTATGCTTGCATATTAACCCCAGTAACTGCAGGCGTGTTAGGATCACCACTGGATCTAGCTGACTGAGTATGTACCAAGCATATTTTGCAGTTTCTCCTGATAACTACACTATTAGCTGTATATCTGTGAATCACTGAGCCTAGAATCTGTAAAACACAGCTATATTACAGCAGAAATATCTTGGTCTCTAGCAGCTTCTAGCTTCTCAGGGAGACTGTTTGCTCATCTTTTACCCACATTTTACACCTCTATCATTTCTTCAGTTTAATAAGTTACACTTGTAAATGCAAGTATCGGCCTTATTTCTCTAGAGTCACCATTGCTCTAAATCAATTCAGGTCATGCTGAAATTAGTCTTGCCCTTCACCAGGTTAACAGCTTCTCCAGTTTTGCTATAATTAATACTTGTCCGCAGATAAATTACAAATGAAGTGAAAGACAAAAAAGAAGTAGGATTACTCTGTAATATTTTTTCTTGCCACTCAATCCCCAAGTTCAATAAGAAGCCTCTCAAAATCTCACTCTACCACAATTTAGTAAGTCAGCAAAAGAGACACTGCTTGAAGGTATTTCATAGAAGAAATAACATGTATCCTACAAGAGATTCCTCAATAAATGTCACCACACATGGCCCTACCTGTTTTCCTGCACAAGGGAAAAAGCTCACTTATTTTCTAAGCTTGCACCTTCTTCATAGTCCATGCTAGCTGCAGTAAGACTCAGCATTTGGTCACTCTAGACAGCAGTAGGCCTGCATTTATCATGGTGGAATGTCCCCTCAATGTTTGTTCTTACAGTTTATGGAAAGGCAAGTACAATGACTCATAAAACTGCTGCAAGAAAAAGCTGAAACAAGTTAACAGAATGAGCTTCTTTAAAATGACATTCTTCATCCTACGTTTCCGGCATGCAGAGTCAAAGCCGCATCACACTTTCAACTGACAGATTTAGAGCTATTATTTATCATAAATGGCAAGACCATCACTGAGGCCAAGTAATGCTTCACGATGTGTTCCCGAACTGCTCACAGATCTTAAGTATACTATAAACAGTGGAAGGCCTGGTTCTACGTTCTACAGAAAAGTAATTTTTTACTAATGTACCATTCTTTTCCTTTTGGAAAATTATATTTTATTCATGCTGAAAATGATCGTCACAAAAATTCTTACCTGTTTTCCATCTAGTGTGTATAAGCGTTTAACCACCCCTGAATCCAACTTGATGGCATCGGTTATATCAGTAAGGACCTGTTCAAATGAATGTGCTGTCTTCTTGTTGAGCAGAATCCGGACTGCTTTCCGTGGTTTCACTCCACTCCTGATGATAGTGACTAGTTTAGGCCTAATGAAATCCTTATTCTCTTTTGCATCTGGAGTACCTCCTTTAGCAGTGGCAAGAGACGGCACTGAACGAGAAGTAGAAGTTGTCTTAACGTTTACTGACCAGTTTGGGTTTACATTCTTCGTGTACTCCAGCTTCTTGAAGGGTTCTATGGAACCACATACATAGCTTTCCCCTGCAGAAACAAAAATGCCAGACCAGCAAGTCAGATTGGAGGGAGAACAGAAAAATACCAAATCAAATCCTTCTCAAATTATTAAACATTGTTATCATTCTTGATCTACAGTGCATAAAGTATTGATCTCTTCCCTTCTCAGATGCTACAGACCATAAAATATCTTTTAAAGATCACTCGTCAGCTAGCCATTCAGAAAACACTGTTACAAAATCCTTGAAAGCAGCAGTTTTCTTTTCAGAAAACACCATCTGCAGTGGGGATCGCTGCTGTCAGTAAGTAGTGTTCATATCTAATCAGCTGCCCAGCGCCAGCACGTTATCACAGTAGTCTCCCAGCCTTCATGCTTAAATGGCCTGCTCCTAACAAAACAACCGGCCCCAAACGTTCCATATTATTTCCTCTGAAGTGTTATCAAAAACTATAGGTTACAAATAACGTTCTATAAAAGGTGGATGAAAGTGTCATAGGAGATTTGTTAACATTTGATTATTTAAAGCTTTAAGCAGCGTAAACACAGGATATGTGCAGGCAAGAATTCTCACCGTATCATTCTACTAACTCTTTATATAATATGGCAGGAAAGGAAGGCAAAGAGTAGTAATTACAGAGTCCCCCTCACAACAAATTTAAAATACTTCAAAGAAAAAAAAATATTATTATAGCTCATATTTCTATTGGAACATTACCTACAATAAAATATTTTTGCAATTACTACACCCACACAATTTCTGGGGAACTATAACATAGCCAGAAGTCACCAGCATGTCTCTGTTCAGTAATACCTTAATCCAGTCCAGCTGCAGGCTGCTACAAAAGGGGCACCTGCTTAGGTGCTCCCAACCTCTCCCTTGAGCTTGACTGAGTGACTGCACTGCTAGTTGCACTGGGTGAGTTGGATCAGCTCATTGATCTGATTGAACACCACAAAGACAACACTAATTTTACAATGACAAGCTGATCCAGTTCACCCTCTGGCTGCAAAAAAAAAAAACCCAAAGAAAACAATACTAGATCCAGCAAGACTGCACCTTCTGGCAGCCTGCAGTTAAATGCCATTACAAATAATGCAAAATCCTATCCTGAACAATACCACAAAAACATCTGAGATGTTTTAATTCTTCTGGGTTCAGTAGTTCAGTGTATGCTAGCGGCACAGAGGCCTTCATGTTAGCAGTTTAGCCCAAGGTATTAAAATAAAAACAGAACAAAACTCAGTGATATACCTCTTATGCCAAAAAGCACATAAGAACCAAAGATTTTCCTAATGATCCCTACCCTAAGGAAAGAGGACTCACAGTTCAATTATTAAAAGAAAAAAGTATTTAAATTTTACTTCTGGACACAAATTTTAAGATTTCAGGGCACCCAACCCAATCCCAGATAATACAGCACACAAGGCATGCTGGCAGATACACAGAGTTACCACAGTTAGAAATGGGGGGAGGATCTACTGGGACATGAGGCCCCGGATGCAACAGAGGTTCAAGTCTGTTGGCATGATCCTCCAAAGGCGAGGCAGTAACACACTGTACAGCGATTATCAGAAAGGCAGTGGAAGGACTCCAAAAGACGACAAAGAAGTCAGAGCAACATGTGAAGATGGACCACTGAGCAGAAAAGATAAATGCAATGACAGCATAAGATCAAGCAAGAACCATAAAAAGATTTTTTGTTTTCCTTTTTTTTTTTTGTAAAAAGCATTCCTTTAAAGCAGAACAAAATACAGAGTGGGAGATGAAGTAAGGCATTCCAATGCTTACTAACCATTGTGTACATGCAAGTTAATCTGCACTTTGCAGTAACTTCTAAAGTGTTAAGAATCTAAGATGGAATGCTTACACCAACCCTACAAGGGACAAAAGTAAGCTTCTCCTTTTATCCATTGCATATATATGAGAAAGAGATATAGATATATATATGGTAACATCAGAACAGAAATGCTTAGCCGCAGTAATGACCCAAGAGTGATCAAACCATACATGTCTTCTTTTATCCATGTCCTTGTCCAATATTTTTAGCACTAGCTACTCAATTACTGCAAGGTCAGAATGCATCCACAACACCACATCCATAAAATTAACAAGTTATTTAAAACATTAATAGCCTTTTGTACAGAAAAAAATAAAAATATAGTACTATTAATAGGACTGCACTCAATACAATAAATATCTGTTCTATAAAATACTTTGCAGAAGTCCCTTTTCTAAATTTTAAACAAAATTTATTCTTGTCTCCACTTACGTTTGCTGTAAGACTTAAAATCCACCAGCAACTACTTTTTTTTTTTTTTTGGGGGGGGGGGGGGGGGATGGAGAGGGGAGTTGAAATAAAAATCAGATTTTCAGGTTCAGTGCTATCAGGGAAATTGTTCAGTTTAGTTGCATGAAAACAATTCTTTATTTAAAAACAAGTCTTCATATTAAAACTCACTTCTCAAAGGTTAGGTGCATAAACAAATGGCCATACACATTGTACCCAGAAGACTTACATTTAGTTTAAGAACTCTTTCTCTTTTAGTTCCCCTTCTTGAAAGGATAGCATTCCACATGATTTTTAGTATCAGCTATATTTAAAGGTCAGCTGGGTTCCTTGTAGCATTGAACAGCACAGGTCAGCTCTTCATTACAAAACTAATTTTGTGTAAACGGCCATAAAAATGACCAATACAATCACTGAAGTTCTGGGATTGTTTTAACATCAGACTTTTTTCCCTTTCTTCATTTCTAACAGTACTATATCACATCAATAAAATATTTGCACCAAGATATATATATTTTTTCCCCCCCTTGAAGAGGCTTATATTTAGCTACAGAATATCTTGGAGATAGAGTATCCAAGGCCTTCTAAGACAAAATATCTTTAGTAAGAGCTATCTTATATAGGAAAACAGAAGTACAGACACCTCTCCCATAATGCTGTTATTTAAGACTGTTTATACTTCAAGCAAAGTGCTGAGGCTTATAAACCTTCAGGGATGTTAGCCAGGGACTGCAGTTCTCATTCACAGTGGTCCTAAGGGCCAGGCCCGTAAGAACAAAAACTAAATGGACAAAACCCTTATGTCCTAAAACTATCTTATATCTGATCTTAAGATCAGTAAAGCCTGTTTTATGGTAACATCCAGCAAATTTTAAGTACTCAAAACACTAGAAACACTCAAATACAAGCTTAAATTTCCTGAATGTGGAACCCACCCTGACAGCAGACAGAAATTTCAATGTCTAGCCTAATCCTTTAGCACCCATGGTGTTTGTATGCAGAGGAAATATCAAAGAAATGGACAAAAAGCCTTCACCTAGATTTTCATCCTCTCTTCTTTTTCACAGTTACCTTAAGGAGAGAAGACTGAAAAGAAGTTTCAACAAGCGGCATGACTTAGTAGTCCAATAAATCTACCTTCTGCCTTAACTATTACTTCCTCACCAAAACTATTAAGTGATGACACTATTTTCTTTTTTTTTTTTTCTCCTTTTTATTTTTGGCAACCTTTGGCTACAACTGCCTTGCAGACAACAGCCTCACCTCTGTGACTTGTACCTGAGGGGAGACAGCAGCTGTGACCTGCGGACAGGCAATACCAGCAGCAAGTTAGTTTTCCCAGCTCTGAAGCACCAGGAAAATACACCTCCGGGGGTAATCCCACTGAGCACCATCAGCTCTTACACTGGGTCAGACCTAAGCACAAATACAGCCCACAAACATTGGCTTTGACCAACTGACAGCTGGAGGAAGAAGGTGACAATCTCCAAACACGAGATTTGTAACAGAACACGTATTGAAGAAGGAATCTTTGGAGATACTGGATTAAACAAAAGCATAGAAAAGACAGCCCACTTAAAGTGTCTGTTTGACTGCAGCTCCCCAAGAGAGGGGAGCAAGCATTTCACAGTGCAGTCAGCTGTCACTAATGAAATTTTGACTCTTGATTACAGTATCAATGGCCATTAGAAAAAGAAAAGGGGGACACTGTCGTGGTTTAACCTCAGTCGGCAACTGAGCACCACACAGCCGCTCGCTCACTCTTGCCCCCCACCCCGCGGGATGGGGGAGAGAATCGGAAGAGTAAAAGTGAAAAAACTCGTGGGTTGAGATAAAACAGTTTAATAATTGAAATAAAATAAAATCCTAATAATAAGAAGAAGAATATACAAAGCAAGTGATGCACAATGCAATTGCTCACCACCCACGCACCGATGCTCGGCCAGTCCCTGAGCAGTGGCCCCCCTGGCCAGCTTTCCCCCAGTTTATGTACTGAGCATGACGTCACATGGTATGGAATATCCCTTTGGCCAGTTTGGGTCAGCTGTCCTGGCTGTGCCCCCTCCCAGCTTCTTGGGCACCCCCAGCCTTCTCAGTCAGTAGAGCATGGGAAGATGAAGAGCCCTTGACTGGTGTAAGCACCACTTAGCAACACCTAAAACATCGGTTTGTTATCAACATTATTCTCATCCTAAATCCAAAACACAGCACTGTACCAGCTACTAGGAAGAAAATTAACTCTATCCCAGCCGAAACCAGGACAGACACCCAGCTGTTTTGGGATATCTGACATCTAGGAAAAAAGTCATTACTAAATCTTAGAAAGTAACACTTTCTTGACAGCCCTCCTGCCTCCTCACAGCAACACTGCAAATGAAACGTCATTTAACTCTTCCAAAAAAAAAAAAAAAGATACACAATGCTTCTTTGCCAGTTTTGAACCAGTAATCCTACAATTTAAATTGTGCAAGTGCTCAACACTCCAGGAAATTCCATGTGGAACAATTAAAACGAATCTTAGCATTGAGAAGCTAATCAGAAAGTTAATCATGTAGAAGGCAGATCCCAAAACACAGTTTATGGTTAAAAAAAAAGAGACAAACAAAAACCTACTACCTGCAGTTACACATCTGTCAAAATTCAATGCAGCTGAACCACTAGAGCCATGTAACACTGAAGGAGAGTTCTTAAAGGTCATGACAGAATTTCATGATGTGCTTCATGTATTAAAAATATAA